TAGGTATGAATTAGTGTGACTTTGTTGTGAGAGCGAGTGTTGAAAAGTAATCCTTATACTCAAACTAAAATTATTGTGTGAAAAATAAGGATTTTGTTTAATGTAAGGACACAAGTTGAAATACCGGAATTGTTAGCACCTCAGTGAGAAATTTAAGAGGATAAGTGTTAGTGCTTGGCGAGTCTGTGTCATGTTCTGATTCCACATAATTCAAGACTAATAGTTATAGAATGCATAGATTTGATAAGATTAATCAGGATTGATAGTCAAATGATTGCTATGGATGAAACATGGATACTATTGTACAAAGATTGTGTATTTAGTCATAGTGTGTCGCTTGAGGGCAAACAACGAATTTAAGTTAAGGGTGTTGATATACCGTGGTTTCACGGTATTATTAATACTTTTTCCTTAAGTTTAGTGTTTCCAAAAGCCTTTTTGTACTACTTATTATATAAGTTTCTTTTTATTTTTGCAGGATTTTGTCCAAAGCTTAATGCGAAGATTTTGAGCGAAGAAATGAGAAGAGACCACCTATGGAGCTTATGACGGTCCGTCATGCTTGTGATGGTCCGTAGGTGGCAGTATAGTGCAGCTGCTGAAGAAAGATGAGGAAGTCTGACCAAGTGTGGGGTTACGAAACTTGTGACTGTCCGTCGTGTCTATGACGGTCCGTCCTGCAGGTTCATGATGAAGTTTCGAGAGGTAATTCCAGTACCCATATTCCAAGAGATGAAGTGTTTTTAAACGAAGGCCCTCAGCGGACCGTTGTGCCTATGACGGTCCGTCATACTTGCCGTCGAGGTTAATGAAGAAGAGCAGCAGAAGAAATTGAACAAGTATGGAACAACGGAGTCCATGAATGTCCATCGTGACCATGACGATGCGTCGCGAGGTCCGTCGACCAGCCGCATTTTGGCAGATTTCTAGCAAATAGGCTCCTTGTTTAATTAGGTTTTTATTTTTTATAAATAGTTCGAAAAACCTCGTTTTTGAAGTTAGACTCCGGATAGTTGGACTCCATATAGTTAAACTTGGGATCTGTGTTAGACACCGTATTAGAAAACAATGTATGGTTACACTTTTGATTATCATTGATTGTTGGTGATTTGTTGTTATTAATCAAGCGAACTTTCGGATTTTACTCTTTCTCATTGAAGTAAGTACATGAATTATTATTTAATATATTTTAATATTGTGATTATGACTATGAGTAACTAAACTCCATAACTAGGGTTGTGGGAACCATAGCCAAATAATGAAATAAAACCTAACTAAAATAACAGTTCTTGAATGGTGTCTTGCATGTATTAATAATTCTTCGCTTAGAAATCTTTTTAATGGATGGCCAACGTTAGAACTCACCTAAATGCTAATTGCTAGACCAAGAAGGTAGATAATAGGAAAAGAATTTATACATAGATTTAGTGTATACTATCTAATAGGCTAGTATTTATTGGTATGAGGTAATAACTTAGTAAAATATCGAATACGATGCTAAATATGAGGTAAGGATAAGCGTTAGGGTAGCAACACACGTAGCCTGACCAAGGTACGGAGTGAGATTTTCTAGATGCCGGACCAAGGATTTAAAAATACTTAACTTATCCCTTTGCATGCAAGATACTAGGAGAGAATTGTTATAGTTAGAATTATCAAGATACGAACCTGTGGGGAACATGTAAACCCCCTTTTTATTGTTTTTTACTTTCCAAGGAAGTCATTGACCAAACAATAGTAATAACAGGTTGAAGTTAAGTCTAGACTATTTTCCTCGTGGGAACAATTCCAACCTCACTAGTTGGGTTATTTACTTGACACGACCGCTTACTTCTTATTTGAAAAGTAAGTTTGAGCGTATCAGGAACCTTGGGCATTTGGATTGAAACACCCCATCTGATCATTTGTCGCATAAATATGTTTCTCATAATAATACTCCTGTGACGGTGGGAGATTTATAGATTTATAGTCAAATAATTTACATTATTTACCTTCTCAACACATCCAAATTACGTTCTCATACGTGCCATCTCCTTACGCATATAATATATCGAATTGCTAATTGTGGCTTAGACTTTAAATGTGCTTCACCCTATATAAAACTTCCTAGTACTCCAATATTTCTTATTCCAGGAGATGTTCTCTAGTTTCTCCGCAATTTTCTCAAAAGTGCAATCTCCATAAGAACCGCTAGCAGTAGTGTCAAGCACCATGTTCCCTCGGTAGAATTACTCCTTTAGTGAATCATCATCAATGCATTGATTAGGAACACTCTTGATGAAAGCGATGGACCGATCCGAAGAGCTACTCACAGTCTCTCTAGGCAGTGCCACAAAGTTTACAAACTTATCCTTTATATTCAACTTCTTGGACATTGTAATAAAATTTATAAGATTACTTCACTCAATTGGTCCCATGTATAGATAGAGTTTTTGGGAAGTTCATTAAACCAAACCGCTGCGTTGCTTGTTAATGATAGAGGAAACACCCGCAGCCTGAAAATATCCACATCTCAGTTTTCTCTTCCTACAATACTTTCGAAAACAATTCTGAACTTTGATAGCTGAGCATCAGGGTCATATGATGCTAACCTTGAACATAAGAATCTCACTAGGAGCATCTACATCAAGCTACTATTTACCACAAATGTGTGACCCAATTGTATAAGGGGTAAAATATGTGGTTAATAAGAGTCAAAAATGTTAAAGTTGACCATATAGTTCTTTTAGGGTTTTGGATCACCTGGCTCTTGCATCCTCAGTGTATATCGCAATAGATTTTCAGTTGGAGCCTGATTTTTTTTTGTTAACCATCCTCAAAGGTGGCATCGCAAAACCATTTCTTAGTCTCCTACAATAGGTTTAACTTGTAATCCCTAATTATTTTTTGTCCACATTGTTTGTCAAGCTCTGGTTTGTAGGGACTGAGTAGTTCTCTTTGACTCCATGTACTTGCTATAAACTAGAGTTTTAAATGGAGAGATATAAGAAGAAAAAGAAAAAGTAAAATTAGGAAGTTTAAAAAATTCAATATAGTTATTAAACTTAATGTAAAAGCAAATTTCTTCAGCAACGGCGTCAAAATTTTATATGCTCAAATTACACCTTCCTAATGAAATAAAAGTGATCGTTATGAAGAACCCAACTTCATAATTGGGGTCAATCCCACGAGGAAAATGGTTTAGACTTAAACTTACTAAAGATTATATTAGTTCAACAAATGTATTTCCGGAAACAAGTAATTTAACGGGGGGATTTTTGTAACAAATTCAGAAAATTACATAAGTAATAATTAGTGAGCAATATTCAAATTTTAATTGTTATCGACATGAGTGAAGAAATAGGGCATAAGTGTTCATAACAAGTAAATAATACGGTAATCGTAGTAGCAACAATCCTTTCCGAGTGTATGACATGAAAAGTGATAAGTTAGTTATCTTTAAATTGACACCTAAAAAATTTCATCACGCACCTTGGTCCGGCTACGTGTGAATAACTTATTAAGCCTTACTTTACCTCATATTAGCCATCGCATTGATATATGACTTAGTTTTCACCCTCGTATTAGTCTACACTAGACTATTAGATAGTATCACACTAAATCTATGTTGATAATTCTTTTCTTATTAATTACCTTTTTGGTCCGGGAAGTAGCAACAAGGCAAGTTGTAACGTTGGACACCATTAATAATACTTCTAAACAAAAGAATTATCAATGCATGCAATAACACTACTCAAAAATTTCTTAATTACTATTCATAATTTGTTAATTGCTCATTGATCCCAAAATCGTAGTTCTACATTTAGTTAACCATAACAGAAAGACTACATCGCATGGTTTTTTTTAAATGAAATGATCATGAAATTACGTATTAATAAGAATAAACCCAAAATATCAACATGAGTTGCAAGCCAAAATTGTGAAAAACGTACACTAAAAATAAATAATTTCCTAAAAATTTTCATATTAATCTCCCAAAGCATAAACTAAACAAGAAAAATAAGGTCTAACCTATAAAAATGAGGTTTTTCCCCCTATTGATAGAAAATTATGTTTCAAATAAAAAGGAAACCAAATCAAGAAATAAAATTGCAGGACATTTTATCATTCTATAAGGTTGTCGTATGGTCCATAATGAAATCGATTGTACGTCGGTCCCTTCCGTGGCTCAGGGCTTTTGAAATTTTTAACCTTCAAAATATTCAGAATCTTTTTCGACTTCTACGATCTAGCAGTATTGACCGTATGTCAGACGAGATTTTGTAACTCTTCTCCATTTCTCCACACATAGATTTTCTTTAGCATAATCTACTGAAACCACCTCTTAGATCACTTCAACGGAAATGTAGTATGGTCCGTAAGTCATCAGTGTGGTTTGACAATTAGTAAAGATTTTCAAGATCTTCAAATATGCTTGAAGTGTCCCTTTAGCACAATCATCAATGGGGCGTATTTCAACCTATAGTCTGTAAGGTGCCTCCATAGATTACATTTTATGCACTTCCTTCAGTTGTCTCCTCTAATCCCCACGCCTTAGTTTATTTCCTAACATCATGGGAAAAACACATAAAACAAACACAAACATTCCTTAGACACAGAAAACATCTATATGAAATGATTAAAAATATCATAAACTCATAGTACATCATGAAGCTAGACATTATTGAATTTAATATTATTATAGGTATGGAGAGGCTTCATGCTTTCTATGTCTAGGTTGATTGTAGAACTGGCGTAGTCAAGGTTTTATTTTTTAATGTTGTTCATTTGTCAATTATTTCAGATGGAGGTTCACAATTCACCACTCAATGTAGGAAGTCTTGTAAGAATGTTTTTAATTTGAAGGTAAATTTGAGTACTACTTTAATTTTCATCCTCAAATTGATGGTAAGGAGGAGAGAATTATTCGGACATTAGAGAACATGTTGAGGGTACGCACGATCAATTTCTAAGGTAGGTGTTGTCATTTAACTCTCATAAAGTTTGCTTACAATTATATTATCATCTTATTTAATAAATGTTTTCTTACGAGGCTATTTATTGGGGAAGATGTAGATAATCTACTATTTGTTGGTTTCAGGTTGGTGAAACTAAGTTGATAGGACGAAATGTTGTTCACCAACCCATGAAGAAGGTGAATATTATTAATGAAATGTAAAAGACATCAGAAAGTTGTCGAGAATCCTATATATATGTTATTAAAATGAATTTTGAATTGGCGGTGGATAATTGGGTTAACTTGAAGGTTTCACCCGTGAAGGGTATTATGGGATTTATCAAGAAGGGAAAGCAAAGTGTTCGGTGTATCGGTCTTTACAAGATATCATAGAGAGTTTTAAATGTAGCTTGTGAGTTTGAGCTACCGTCCGAGTTAGCAGCGGTACATCCAGTGTTCAACATTTCAATGTTAAAGAAGTGTATGGGCGATCCTTCACTGATTATACCTGCTAAGAATATCCGTATTAAGTACAACCTTTCTTGTGAGGAGGTACCCGTTCTAATTCTTGATTGTCATTTTCATAAATTGAGGAACAAAGATGGTGCATTAATCAAAGTTTTATGGAGAAATCAATTTGTTGAGGAATGTATTTGGTGGGTGATGAAGATATGAATAGGAGATACCCACATCTCTTTGCATCATGAGACATTCAAAACTGAGGTAATAACTCTTTGTGAAGTATTATTTAAGTTAATAAATTAAGTTTATATTTGACTTCTCTTTGTGTGACAGAAATGGGATAGTTTGATATTTTCCACACATTTTCTACTTAGTATGATCTCATTCAAGGACAAATTTTCTCAAGGGGAGATGTTGTAATATCTTAGACTTCGGTATGTTTTTAGTTTTGGGTCAACTTGAAATGAACATAACGTTCAACATACGAAAATTTGGGTGGCACATTAGGTATCAAATAAAATGTCTTTGAGTCATCTTTCCAACGCCGTTGAGTTAGATAAATTCCAAGCTTAGAAGGAGGGGTTATGGTCATTTAAGTGCATCCTCTATAATTAAGGCATTTTATTCATTTTAATAAGTGGTATTTTTGTCTGTTCTTACCTCCACTCAGACTAAGAGTTATTCTTACCAATATAGGGGTCTACAGTGATTGAGTTCAATATAAATTTAATCGTTAACGTCTAGAAAGTTAGGGAAAGATTCAAAATGATAAAAGCCAATGTTTCCAAGAGTTCATCAAGAAATTTGAGGAAACGCTTAGAATAAATTTCTTTTGATTTATGTAAGCTTTCATACTGTTGGTTTTACTAACCCTCACCCAATCGTGTAAAATTTTAAGCATGATTTTGTTCTTGAAGTTATTGTCTTGAGCTCTTGAGGAGTTCCTTGAATTTTAGTTGACAATGGAGGTGTTTGAGTTCTTGAGAAGGGGATTTTGCGAATATGTTGAGTCACTAGATATATTTTGGGTTGGTTTTAATCATATTGTTCTTGGTTATTAAATTTCGTGAAACTGGACCATGGAGTTGTATTGGTTAAGAATTGAATCGAGTTTTGGAGAGCAATAAAAGATCGAACAAAAATCTGTGCATATGTCTTTATAGCGGAAGCGCTTAAAAATGTCACTCTTCAGATAGTCACCCCTCTTCACCTTTAAGTGTTGATAAAAGGTCCTCTTTCTCAAAATCAACTTCTGACCAAAAATTAAATCCTCCTCCGCATTGCTCCAACTATTTTCAATTTGGGTCATCGCTCTATTCTATTTACTAACTGTCTAAGCCTTCAATTATCATTGAGATCTCCTATATACTTATTATATCTCTTTAATTTGCATTCCAAATCCAAGTAAAATTAAGAGGAATGTTCCAAGAAAGTATTTTCATTGATTTTTAGAAGCCTTTTGCAATCTTATATAATTTTACTTAAGACTTGACTAAATGAGTATTAAAATAAGGAGATTTAACGTATATGTTTCAAATGAGTATGAAGGAAGTATGTATTCCCAAGTGTAATACTCTTACATTTAAAATGACACAAAAACTAATTTCTTAATGAGTTTAGGAGTAGTCTCTTTCATCACTTTTTTTAAAGGATCTTTTGAGTAAATATCTCACTTTGATAAAAAATTTATGTTTTTAAAGAATATGATGATGAGTTACATATTTTATTAGGAGTAGTATTGACGACCAATATGTGAATGAGGTTAGCCAACTCAAAATCCTGATTACCATGTATTCCAACATGGGTTAAGGGTCATACTTTTTATAATATTCCTAATTGCTTTTAAGAAAACTTTGTTGATCTACTTAGTTGAGGTAATATATGCCGTATCAATGTTTAGGATAGTTTTTGCAGCGTGGCCAAGATGCTAAATTTTCAGGTAGCTCACAATGATGGTTATCAATTAGAGAATTATCCAAATAAGTGTAACGAGTTTGAATTGTATAAATATTTATATGATATCTATTATTTTAAATTTTTTAAAATTTCATTCTTTTTCCGTTGATACTATAAATAGTTTTGTTGAGTTGAGGTGAATATGTCTTCCCTTTATATTAGTACATCAATAATTATACATGTTTCAGTTTTCCCCTTATAGACTTGTTCATTGCATATATTGATGTCATTTGATCCACTTCTTTTCATAATGCAAATACAAGTGTTAAATGTCATCAACACACACTTCATTGATCTCATTGAATTCCACCTTGCTTTAATGAGCCTCCTCGCTTTCTAAAGGGCTTCACATTAAATTTTTTTTTAGGATGTCATGGGTCTTGTCCTAACATCCATCGTGTTATTTACAGGCATTATAAATTGTAGTAGTAAGGTTTCTTTTTATATTTTCCCTTGTTGGTGTTTTGTAGACTTTATGTTTAATAGTCATCTTAATTTGACTATTAAAGACGATTTGAGTTATACCGCTTTATTAATGAGATCTCATGAGTTAATAATTTAATGTAAGTTCCCATGTTGCTCAGTAAGTCTCCTGCTAAGTACTGAGCTAGGTCAAACATTTTCTTTAATACCAACGATGGTTCTCGAGTGTCTGCCACGTTCAGGCTGTAGACTCGGTTGTCTTACAAGGATTATAGTAGAATGATTAATTTTTCTGCTCCTATATTATTCTTCTTTTATTTTCTATGTTTCTTTCATGTTATTGAATTTGAAACTTACTTGACTTGATGAGAATAGACTTGTTTCATCATGTCCATTTTTGGATTATGAAATTTATGGCTTCTGTAATTAGAACACGAACATAAGCATTATCCTGAAATAATGACTTCTTCCTCTTTATTTCCGCTCATGATAGATAAGCATATAGCCTTGAGTCATGTTCAACCTGAAAGACAAACATTATACGTTAGTCTAAAAAAATATAAATATTTTATAAACATAAATCTTATTTTCATCGATTATTGATGTACAAAAAGTTTAAATTTATATTCTTCAAAAATATATAGTTTAGTAGATATAGACTAGAGATCTATGTATGAGAATAGGCTGCTCTAATTTTGAAATGTATACATGCAATTAAATTTGTAAGGAAAGAACAAGTTTTGTATATGAAGGAAAATGTTTCTTAGAATATAAGTAGATATTTTACCTATAAATTTTATCTTGTGTAAGGTAGGTATGTAAAAATATTATACTAAAATTATTTATACATAATCCAGTCACAAACACTATGAGGAGGTGGGGATAGAGTCTATGATGGTAGGGTAAGAATGAGGAGTGTTGGAGTTAGAGGGTGAGAAGAGACAATCAATGTAGAATGTCACATTAGAACTTTCTTTTGTATTTTATATTTAGGAAGTCATTTCCTCATTGTTTAAGTGACATAATTTCGCAGAAATATATTTTTCAAAGATTTTGACCAACCCGAACATGAGAAAATCTAAAAAATATTTCATCATTAAACCAAACACATTCAAAATAGTTTACTTTTTTCTCTATGGGTATGTTTGGTAAAAAAAAATAATGTTTGTTTTATTGATAATTGATATACAAATGTTATAATTTAAATTGGCGAAATTATTTAGTTGATTAAAGATAAACTAAAGGTCTATGTATGAGCATAGTTATTTCCTTCCATTATTAAAAGCAAAAGAAATCCAATAGTATAATAATGCATTGATATTTGTTCCTCGGCAGTATACACACAGGTGTACGTGGTGGCGTAAGTAATATTGTTTCTTTTGACACGAGTTATCGTTCCCAAGGGACTTATGATAAAGTTATATTCACACTTAGTTCCACAAGTACAGAGAAAAGTAAGTTCTTACTAGGTTGATTGTTTTATGATTAACTAATACAATTATGGGCTTAATTTAGAGTAAACAATATATTAAAACTTTAATATAATAAAATTAAAAGCATTTCAAGAGTTACAACATATAAAAAATTTCGTGCATCGTTAGATCTAACTTCAGTTGTTAAATTACTAGTTTATAGGGTTGATAGTATGATCCGGGTTAACCACCTTTTTCACCTATCCCTGTTATCTATCTAACTACATTGTAGGGAGGGATGAAAAAACTAACTGACGATCATTTATATTCATCCTATTTTGTAACAAAGCAAGGTTTTCGCCTTTTGGGTGTCAATCCTGAACACTAATCACCTCAAGTTAATGGGTTGACCGAGGTCTCTATATTCTCTGGTGTATCTAACCTCTCCTATGGTCAAATCAAAATTAGACACTAAATTTATTCCTACATGGAAAGCCAAGAAATAGTAAAATGAGAATATAAAATAAATTTGAATTGACAAGTGAAGATTAAATCATTAAGCTTCAAATAATCAACAATCGATTTGTAGTTGCATCCCCAAAACTAGTGCATTAGATACTCATGTTCATGCTTATAAAGAAAATAATTTTTTTTCATAAACTAATACGTAAAATGGAAGAGTTAAGATGACAATCGTGATTCTTTCCTTTGAACACTAAACAAACGTTAAACCCTCATAATGGAACTCCTAGGATCTATTTACAATAGTAGATAAAGTTCAAAATAAATAATATTAAAATCAGAACTCCTAGTTAATGTATAGAACTTGAAAAAGTCACAGTTCGCATAGGGTGGCGCGCCTCCATCGCCCCTAGAACCTTCTGGTACTAAGGTGTTGCTTGGCGCAGCGCGCCATCATCGCGCCTGGATAGTTTCTTTGATCGTAAAGCTTTGTGGCTGCACTTCGTGCAGAGCGCCTCAATAGTGACTTTTAGTGACAAGCCCTGGTGCCATGCGCCTTCCAGTGCGCCTGGCCTGCGTGCTTCCCACTTAGTCATTTTTCATGTCCATCTCTTTTCCTTGTTTATATTCGCTCCAGGTCCAATTTCTTAAAGACTTCCTAAAATTACAAATAATGTGTGTAAGTACTTAATCAACACAACCAACCACAAAATAAAGCTAATAACTAAAGATCATCCTTTATCAGCCCAAAAATATGGATAATTATCGACTACATAGACATATAAATATTCTAAAACTCACCACCCCGCACTCAGAATTTTGTTTGTCCTCAAACAATCTTTAGATTATCAACTCTATTTCACAACCCCTTGGCTTTATCACTTCACCTTTAAATCACCAAAACATTTTTAATCCTGATTATGCAATATACATTGGATACAACAATTTTCACTATTATAGCAAGTACAACGCATTCTAAAAAAATGACTCCTTTGTGGGCTAACACAAATTAATTAATAAAAACACATTACTAGATAATCCAATGTATGTCATAGATGCGCTCACTTGTTTATGCTTTTAGTACAGCTTTTTTCTCAAACAATGTCAACGTCACAAGGCCTATTTTATCAAAACAAGAAAATCATTCTCCAAACTGAAGTTCTCACTTTGATCAACATACCATATGCTTGCCTAAAGTTTAGCTTAACTTTCACATTGTACTTCTCAAGGAAACAAGAGGACATTCATTTGATAGTAATGTTTGCTTTAGGTGAAGTCGG